AACAAGTGCCACGCTACTAGAAACAAGTGCCTTACTAGTAGTAACAATGTTTGCTACTAGTAAACAAGTGCCTTACTACTAGTAGATGCGTGTATGTTCCTTAATGTTTAAACTGTCGTCTCTTGCTGACTTTTGCGGAACGATTGGATGGTTTCATGCCAGTTGGACTGCAGGATGAATAAAGGAACAAGCACGGCTTGTGACGGTACAAACCTTGGGTAGGTATATATTGCTAGGTACACTTCAATGCGACCATGATGACGTTCCAAATGGATGGGTTCAGGCTCATTTGTGTTAACTCAAAAAGCAAGGGAGGTTGGGGGGCATTTTTGGGGACGACCATTTCAGGCGTCTCAGGCCTCTCTCAGGTGGGACGACCAGAAGACTGGAAGTCGAAAACGGTGCGAACGATGATCCTAAATGAGAAAACACCATGCAAAAGTTGATTTTGTCTGGAAGAAGCCAAATGCTCGGAAGAATGGGACCAGAAAAGGCCATGCAGACCATTGCAGACCCTTGGCTCCGAGGCGTTTGGCAATTTTCCCAGAAATTCTCTATTGTTTTTATATGTAGACCTGTTTGAGCTTTGCAGTTTGCAAATTACGGCTCCTCGTTGAAACCACCTGATTTGGAAGATCCGCCCGAGGGCGTTTTTTCTGCCTTTTTCGTAGAAAGGCAGATTTTAAGCAAAAGGCAGATATTAAAGCCCGTTAGAGGATCTAGGTATGAGTTAATCCAAGCCTGGAGAGGAAGACTTTATGATGGAGGTTTACATCAAACATGATCTAAAGAATGTACTTTGACGTGGCACAGTTTGTTCTTTGGACATGTCGCACAAACCCATGTATTTTGAAAGTGCATGGCTTGGAATTTGTGGCATCTACCTGGGCATCACTGAATCCAACCAAACAACACAGCAGACATCCCATGAGACTCTGCTCGGTCACATGTTTTCCTCGCCAGGCAGTCTCTATCCATGTGAGGCTCTCTTTCGTACACACTCCCTTGGGAGGAAAGCCTCAAGCTCAGACGATCGAACTCCGACACCAAATGCTCCGCCCTGTCGTGGCCGGGCGACCGCTCGGAAAGGAAAGGGCGAAAGGTACACTCCGACTCAGGATTTTTACGGAAGTGGAACATGAACAAAAGTTGGAAGACATTGGATGACATGACACAGTTTTATCAAGCTTTCCCGCACGAACAGGGTGTTTTTTCATGGAGTGTACTTTGGGAATCAGCCGATGTGTGTGTGTGTGTTTTGTGACTTTGCTTCATTCATTATTAGCGAAGTTCGTGTGTTTTTCGTGACGGTTGTGTTTTCCATCACGGGCTTACTGTAATTCATCCAATGGATGTCATTCCGTTTGGGTCGTGTTTGGGAGTTCCAAGGCCTGAGATCTATGGCCACAGCTTTCTGGGACCCCGGCTGCAGATGCAACGCGCCGGGGTCTCGAGAAGGGAGCCTGGCACACTCACCACATCTAGTCACAGTGTATGGACATGGTGACAGTCACAGAAATCGAGGCTTTTGCAGAACCCATTGGATTTCCATTGGAACCCCGAATGCAAGAACGTTCTTCAAAAAACAAACCCTTTGGCGATCTGGCGATGAGGAAGGGCATGGTTGGGATCACGGTTTTGCCCGTGAATGGCATCAGTCATGTGTGGCATCCATCCTTCTAAAACAAATGAATCATTAATTTTAGCAAGACCCCGTGGACCCATTCTCCGTAGCTCAGGTCCAAAGCCGCATCAGTGGCAGTGAAGGGCACCTGGTGGCCATGGCCTCAGCACCCTATTAACCGTGTGGCGCCTGCGTCAGTCAAGAACCCCCCGACAGCTTGGGCAGGTCAAAGAGCTGTTTGGGACGGGTGCTGAATCAGATGCAACCCTCTGCAGTTTTGCATAGCAACCTGGCGCTGAAGATGAGGACGGCTCTACTGTGTGTGAGGGACCATGGGAGTTTGCTGCAGGTGAACGCCGGTGTGGTGCTAAGGACGCTTGTTGTGAGAGACCATATTATATATAATCGGTGTATCGAGTATCCCTCTACATGGGATGACACCATGAAACATCTGAATTGAAGCTCATTTGAAGCACCATCCAAGTGCTAAAACTGAAGATGCCCAAGAGATCCGTGGAAAAGAGTGTAGACTCACGTAGATCATCAGTTTCATCCTCCAAATTGGGCCGAAAACAGAAACCGGTTGAGACATCCGTTTCCTCACGTCCTCCGCAATGCTGAGACCCGCGTCTCCCTACTCAGGTTCATGCCACGGCCAGGACCTGAGTGACTGCCAGTGGGGCGATCGGTGAGACGATGGATTACTTATTCAGATCTATCATCGTCTCATAGGGATTTATCATGATTTATCCACCATGTTCTAAAACATGCAAACAAACAACAATCTATCTATCTCGTGCCCTTTCCCCTGGGTGATATGAAAAAGAGATGTCTTCCAGGGCTCGTCAATATGTCCTAAGATCTTCTTCTTCATCTTTGAACCGATTGGCCCATTCCCTGGGTCTGCAAGATGAAAGGAGGATGGAGCAACAGTAGCATCCATCTCGAAGGATGGAGCAACACTGAGCAACACTGAGAACACCTCTTCTTCGTCCACACAAGTTTGTTCAGCTTTTGCCCCACAAGGTTTGCGAACCCAAAACCACCAGGTTTGCCGCAATTGGCTTCCTACAGAAATGATGTGAAATGGTCTCTGCATATTGATTTCCCCCCGTCCCACCGGGCTCTCTGAATGAACGCCCTCGTGACGACGCGGGTTACGCATCTCCCATCGCCTCAGGCAGACCCCCCAGCGCTCTTCTTCTTCCGCTCCGCCATCGCCAGTCGCATGGCCCAAGAAGTCCCGATCTTCAGGTGTTCACAGGACCAGCCTATCTAGGAGCAAGAACGCTACTAGTAGCTCCTGGCCTTACTACTAGGAGCAAGAAGCTACTAGTAACAAGGGCATCGCTACCAGGAACAAGAAGCTGGACCAGCCTGGACCTTCCACCTACCCAAACGACCCGAATTTGCTTGTCGCGAGGATGGGAGTGGCACTTCAACTCTGGGACTGCCACCACTGAGTAAGCAAAAACTGACATATTTTTTTGTCACCCAACCAACCGACCCTCGGTCAACCGGATCCGTCGCACAGTCGTGAAGAGGATTCCTTTTCGTGAAGAGGCTGCGCAGGCAACTTCTTCAAGAACACTGGAAGAACACAGAGGAAAATAACATGTATAATTATTATGATGATTTGTATACCTTTAATATCTTTAATAGTATTAATTCAATGGAACATATTTGGACGGGTCCATGAAGGGCAACATTGCAGCCCACCGCGTTGCGCCGGCTTCACACCCATACGAAGTCTGTTCGTGGGACCTCGGTCGCCACCGTCGCCCGTCGGAGCGAGGCAAAGAGCTCCGGCTTTTGGCCGAAGTCCTGGCCTTTGAGGAGCGTTGGACCGAAGTCCTTGGACGACCGGTGTGTTTTTTTTGCACGACTTTTGGGAGCGGCCAATATACCGGTCTGACTGTTGACTGGTGACCAGAACGCACGGCCTGAACACGGGCCTCTCAGCAGCTAAGAACCAAACCATCCAAACCTTTCGACCATCATTGAGGTTTTGCTCTGCCCAAACAGCAATTGAGCATAAAGGAGTGCACGGCATGAAGAACGCACACCAAAGTGTGACTAACCGAAGGATCCGAAGGGTGGTTCGGCCGACCTCCAACTTTTGTTGTTGTGTTCGGAGAACAAGAATCATCATAAACAAAATGACATGCAGGACATGTAACTATAGCTGTACCTAGCCGTCTAATTATGTTCAATTCCTTCGCCCAGGAGCCACCCAGACAAGCCACCGCCTCACAGCCAGCAGTGAACAGGACAGGGGTCCTGTAATATCACAGAACGGGTGAAGAACTGTGTAGAAGCAAAGGCACGTCACTTGAAGCAAAGAGGAGTTGTGCAGAATCCCACTTTCCCAAACTCCAACCACTCCATGTCCGAAGCTCGCAGGATCTGGAAGCTCGCTTTGCCCAAGGCCAAGGCTGTGCCGAAGCCGAAGCCCAAACCGAAACCCAAGGCGCAGCCGGGGTCCGCTGGCGCGGCCGAGCCGCTGGAGGTTCAAAGGGTTTTGCAGCCCAAAGGACCACCACCGGGCGGCCGCGCAGCAGCTTGGGCTGAAGTTGATGGAGTCTTCCCGTGCTGAAGAAGATATGATGACAGCTTGGGTTCAGGTTCAGGTTAAGGTTAGTGTACTGTGCATTGGTTGCCAACTGGACGCCCTTGATGGTCGAGTGGAGATTCCATCATGCATCATTGGACATGCCGCATGTTGGAGCACAAGGCGACAGGTGGAAAAAAGATGAAAAAAGGTTCATGAATACATACCAGTTGCAATTTCATGGCATTTGCTGCCTGCAACGAAGTAGACTCGTGCCCAATGAACTAAAGCATATTGGTAAGAATAGTGTGTTCAAACTTGCAAGATCTATTGCATAATATACAATATATATCATATAGGATCCCTATCCACTTGAGCCTTGAGCTTCTGTGTTTTTTCCCACTAAAGACACCTGATCAGAGTCGACACCACATACTTCACGGGGCATTGATTCTCGCCCATCAGACATCAAACCAAGACTTAACACTTAAGACACAAGGCGGAGATCATCATTGGACTCAACCGTTTGATTTACACAGATGTACCATTGTCACAATACACTTGTAGGAGCCAAGGACTCTTTGGATTTTAACGGATGTCATCATATGTCATATTTTACAAACGCAAGTGGTGCTCTCCATTTTTGGACCCCCACTTTCAGCCGAACACCTTGGTTCTCGGACCCACCGAGGCATCCTCTTGGGCCCTGACGGGCGGACGCTACCCGCGGCCCCTCTTCGACAGTGCCGCGACGAGTGCGGGGCCGACGCCCAGCGCGGAGTGCGTACTGGGCTGGGCCAAGTTCAGTCGGGCGGCCTAGACTTGCATGGTGCGGAGTTCGTGTGAAGTCAGAGTTGTTTTATTTATAATGTGTTTTTGAAGCAATTTTTGATTGTGAGAAACGTGAGTGTATGGCAGAAAATTGGATTAAATTCTTGGACATCGTGTGTGTGTGTGTGTCCACCCCTGGACAAAGGGTTCTCAACCAACTCCGGCAGGGGGCCATCCCCCTCCCCAGTGGCGGATGGCCAACGAAGAGGCCACTGGGGGGGGGGCTGCAAACGTACCTGCCGAACTGTTGTACAAGCTGTCACTCCACTCTTTCTTTGTTTGTTTCCATGGTGGTTCATGCTACTTCCCCTAAACCCTTTCCCTCGCCGCCCGTGCGCGTCGTCGTCGCACCGCTGCAGATGAGAAACTTCACTGTTAAAACACCTTCAAGTCTTTGCCGTTCCATCGCCTTCCTTCTCAACGTGGTAACAGAGTCACTGAAAACCAATGTCAGAGTGTGTTTCGCTCAGCCGTCCCACTCGGGTGCTGAGTGTGATCCCCGTCACAGGGGCGCTGTTTTTTGCATCGGAATTCAACAACCCCAACGTACCACTTTTCACTGGACCTTCACCGGAAGTCACGGCCACCCCCATAGAATCAACTGATGCATTGGCAGCCGGGCCCAAAAACGGCATTACTTCGACAGCCGCCGGGCTATAAAACGGTGCTCACCCCCCATGAGGCAGGTTCCCCAAACCCCCCCCGCTGTGTTCTACTCCCTACCTATTTAGGGCAACATAGGGAAATGGTACTCGACACACTTGTGTGTCGGTGCCTTTCCCTGTGTTGTTCCTGTTCTAGTCTTTCCTACCCGGGCGGTCTAAGACTAAAGTCCCGCTCCCTAACTAGTGCACCTAATTCACTTCGTCTAAGTATTCAGTAATTCTAGAGTGCTAGGTAGTCAAACACACACACGTACACACACATGGACATACACCCCCTCCCTGCCCCCCGCTTTCCTTCTTGCGTTTTTTGTCGTTTGTTGGGCTTTCTCTCAGGCTTTTTAGGTTGTTCTTGAGGCTCGTTTCCCTACCCCAGTCAAGGGCTAAGTATTCATTTTTCATTTTTTCTACGCCTATCTTTCTCTCTTGCCCTCTTAGCGCTGCTCTTTCTGTGTTTCTTTCCTTTTGTTTCTAAGGCTTTTTAGGTATCTATTCAGGCTTTCCACGCACGCGCCGCCAAGCGGCACCGTGTCTGTGCCACCGTTCTTTGAAAAAGCGCCGAAGCCGGCGATTTGTGTGTGTCCACCCCTGGACAAAGGGTTCTCAACCAACTCCGGCAGGGGGCCATCCCCCTCCCCAGTGGCGGATGGCCAACGAAGAGGCCACTGGGGGGGGCTGCAAACGTACCTGCCGAACTGTTGTACAAGCTGTCACTCCACTCTTTCTTTGTTTATTTCCATGGTGGTTCATGCTACTTCCCCTAAACCCTTTCCCTCGCCGCCCGCGCGCGTCGTCGTCGCACCGCTGCAGATGAGAAACTTCAATGTTAAAACACCTTCAAGTCTTTGGACCTTTCACCATGCCGTTCCATCGCCTTCCTTCTCAACGTGGTAACAGAGTCACTGAAAACCAATGTCAGAGTGTGTGTCACCTTTGGAGTCAGAGCGAGCCTTTTGGCTTTTGTGAACATACTGTTAACAAGCAGGGACAGCTGCCCAACTCGTAACCGTGGCAGTCCGAGGAAGCAGTGATGAGTCACTGATTTCCCGTTTGTTTGTGATGTTTGTATATAGTTACATTCACTCCTAGTGACGAGGCTGGTTAGGTGCAATAGGTTTGCAGACATGCACTTGTCGGTTCGCTCACTGCAGTGCATTCCTTTTGGAGCTTGAAACTTTGAAGCTTCAAGACCTTGAGCTCAAAGATGGTTCAACCGGCTTGCAGCTTGCATACTAGCTGGTTTTTACTTGGGTGTTCTTTTTCCCGGAAGCTTCTTCAGGGCTTGGAGTAATCAAATTCAACGGATTTAATACCTCGAGTGTGTGAGGGTGCTATGGAAACAAACCATCTTCGCATCACAGGGGCGTGCACCCTTCGGGCATTGAGAGCGAACACAAATCTCATGTTGCGTTGCGTGGAAGGTGAAACAGGCATTCAAATATGAATCACGGGTGCCGGGTGCGCAATGCAATGCATAATGCAATCAAGATTGCGGAACAACAAGTCACATGGCACACAAGCTGGATACGATTTGTTTACAAGTGTTATCAAGTGTTGCAAGAAAGGTGTTCAAGCAATGCCCCATGGTGGTGGAAGCACCCACCTTCGTGCAAGGTGCACTTACAGATGAACTGACAGATGAAGGATGTTCTCATCGGATTGCTTGCCAAGGGTCGGCCACCCACCAAAACTGTGAGTGTTCGGGGCCACGCACAGTGCGACCATCTCTTGCACAGTGCGACATTCGAAGACATCTCAACACCCCAGCACCCCACCTGTGACTCTCTCCCCCCCCACTAAGTGTTAGGCCGCTTCGGGGCCGTTCCATCACGCACTCCGAGGCTTCGATCTGGCCACGGAGAGCCGGAGCGCCTTGCGGCCGCGCGATGGCGGGCCCAAGCGCCTGAAGATGGGCCCTTTGAGGGAGCGCATTTTACAGATCGCAGGAAGGGGCGAGTGAGATCAGTGGGGTTTTCAATCCTAGAGGAGTTTTGGGGGGGTGTTGGGAGAGAATTTGTGATGGTGGACGGAGGAGGATGGTGGAGGTTTGAGTGTTACTTATTTTTGACAGAGGATCATTAAAGAAACAACACATTGAATGGGAGACTGGGAGATCGCTGTAGATGGCACTGAATCTGAGGAATAGGTGTTTGGTAAATAACTAACGGAGAACGAATCTGAAGAACATAGATGCAGATATGGTGATCGTTGGTCATGTATCAATTGTTTGGACTGAGTGCCTATGAATCCTCGTGAAGTCAGTACATCGAAACCGCTGGGTATGCACGATTTCCCGGCCTATACCGTGAGGTCAGACTATGCAGAACCTTGTAGCTCATCAGGGGTTCCGTAGACCAAACGAACGCATTTTTCCATGTAAGAAGACACTTGTTAAACCCAATTGCATCAGCATGCAGTTTTCCTCTATTACTATTGGTCTATATATGCTAGTTCAATTTAGTATAGATTCTGAAGCTGCACTTCGATTTCACTTCCGGTCTCGGCATCCCATGGGAGGCAAGAGCACTCCTGCAGCGGAAGCCGAGCTGAATCGCTTGCTCCATCCGCCGAAGGTACTGGACGCCTCACCGTCGGCAGTTCACTGACAGTCGGAGTTGGGTATAGTAGTCTCATCCAGCACCACCCAAAGGGTGGTTATTAGATGGAAAATACTTCTTCAGGGGGGGTCTATAAACCACCCTTTCGGTGGTGCTGGATGTGATCTCCTTGTTTTTTCTTTCAGCAAGTTATCACGAACCTGCCGAACTCGCAGCAGGATCGAGCAGGATAGAGCAGGTCATGAGACTCGTCGATGAGGACTGTAGTTCACACCAAAATTTTGAAAGTGGATCCAAACTATCCGACGCCCCACAACCAGAAACAGTCCCTGAAGTAGGTGGTCTCATTTGCAAACATGTTGGGATGATAGTACAAGAGGTGGTTTGATGTTCAACGATGTTCAGGTTGCACCTTCGAGGCTTACGGATTTGATCAGTGATTTGATCTTGACCTCTTGAGACCGCCGAGCTTGACCTTAACAAAGGGTGGTGAAACGGTGGCTGGGGATGTTTAACTGCATGTTGCAGCTCCCCTCCATGGAACTGGGGACGTTTGCAGCTGTCCTTGGATGGAACACCGGCTTCAGATGTGATCAATGCATTCTGCAACAAATGAGCCCTAACACCGCCAGTATGTTCAATAGCGGTTGGTGGGATAATCACTCTCATATTATATATATGAACCACTGTCATGGGAGGGTGACATGACGAGTCAGGGTCACCTTTCCTGATTGGCGGTTTCAATTGTTTGTTCTTTTCAACTTGACATGGCGAGATTCATCCAGATGACTCACATGTTTCAGGTCTTCACCACCAACTCCCAACTTCCGCGATTTTGAGGGCCCCGAACCGCCTGTGCAGGCGGCTCCGAAAGCCGCGCCGCAGCCCTTCATGGAGGCCGATCTGCAGGTGCCGTGGCCGCCTTGTCCCACTAGTTCCACTGCTTGCATACGTTGACAGAAAGCACTGAGGCAGATCATGGATCATGGCTGATCCATACATAGGGCCCTCAGAAGGCTGATGGCAGTGAAGTGCATATTACTCCACCGAGTATTCGGTCGGGACTCTTCATGTGACGGGTTGCGGTGTGGCTGAGTAGGGCTCTTACCTTGGCGCTCTAAAGCCAGGCAAGAACGTAGAAGAACCTATACGTTGACATTCGGGTGTATTTGGTAGTGTGTCATGGCCCCATAGTTCTTTGGTGTTCATTCGCAGTAATTCGGGGCAGAACTGGGCAGTAGCTGACCGATTTGGTACAACCGTCATCATCCTCTTTCATGAGAATTGATCATTAGACCAAGATGGGCAGGCTGCAACATGTTTGATCAACTCCAGACTGATGTTCATTCCAAGCATGCTGCTCCGGACACTACCCATCGGCCTCAGGTGATCCCCATCGACGATGCGGCGAAGCGGCTTTTGCCCTTCGACTTTCCTGTCCAGAGCTGAGCCCGGAGATCAATGACAGCGTGACTCGTGACACCGAATTCGTTGGGTTTGAGAAAGATACCAAGTTTGAGTGACTCGTGTGGCCTGTGGGGAATCAGGGAATGACCAATATAGAGTTACGAGAGAAGACAATTGCCACCTCAAAATAGACATAGGGGCCGTGCTCCGCACTTGGAAAGCCATTTGATATGGAAAACAATGTTTGCATGGTCAGTCATTCATATTCATTTGTGTCGTGTGGTCATTCCATGTCCATCTCCAGAAACAACACGTGTCCGACCAAAACACCGAACCAAGGCTGTGACAGAAGCGCTGCGGATGGGGGGTTTAGAGGTTCTCGAGGCGTGTTGCGTGTGGCGTCTCGTTTGCCACGTGGCGGCGACGCTCAGAGCGCCCGGATGCGCCAGGTGTTTCCAGTGACCTCATTGCTGGGGGAAAATGCTCTGATCCTGGTCGTACCGGAGCAGGTGTTACTCGGTCCGATTGGACCGGCTATTTCCAGACATTTCCAGACCTTTTGAGCCGCCCTTCACGCGAGGTCGAAGTGTCGACGTGTTGGATTCGCGAATGCGCTTGGTGCGGTTGGAATCCAGTACTAGTGGTTGGGTGGTCTCAGCTGATTCCAGCGTCAGGAACCCAAACAAGAGTTCTGGCCACCAACCAGTCCAGAGTAGGACCTCCCTGGACCGGCTCCGCCACTGCGCGCAGGATGCCTCAGGGCTTCAGATCGACGCCGATCTGAACCCCAACGTGGTGGATCCCGACACCTTCGTCCGAGGCCGACAACGCCCTCCGCGCCCGGGCGGACGCGATACGGGGAGGTTCGCCTCGACTCGCCGTGCCCCAGTTTCGGGCGGAAACCGTCCGCGCGGGTGAGATCGGGAGTTCGCAGGTTCCAAGTGATTGGAGAGGAAGAGCTTGATAGCACATGATAGCAAGGCCATGTTCAGAAGCATTCACTTCTCACAGGTCAGGACAGATTCTAGAGGCTATAGTGGCTATTGGCTATTGGAAGTGACGTTTTGCAGCCTGACTTGATTGGGAGGTTTGCTGGTGACCCTGCCCGAGCCGCAATGGATGGAGAACTTCCTCAGGCGGAGCTTGGAGCATCTCTGAAGTTTGCCTGACATCCTTTGAAGGACAGAACTGGAGATGGATTGAAACATTTGCAAATGGAACTGCAATGGTGATGGTGACATGATGATTTGCAAATGGGATTTATTTGAAAACACGCGACATCATGTCACCAACACGCGATTTCAATCATTTGCAAATTTACCATGGTATTTGGAGGTACCGGGATCGCTGATGCAAGCCTGAGTCAGGGGTGCTGCATTTTGGAACCTCAACATCCTCCTCTTGCCACCGGTTGTCATGAGCATCCGTTGATCTGCCCAATGACATCAACATTGAAACACACTTAATTCCATTAACAATCTCTATACCAAAACATGTACATCGTTTTCTTGCGAACACCAACCCCAACCCCAGGAGGTCGCTGAACATCTCAAGATTGTTCAATGCTCAGTGACATCAATGAATTTGTGTCCCAAAGAAAAATACAAACACCTCCCTGCGCTCCGTCATTCGATCCCCTTTTTCCTTCTGTGTCCCAGAAAAAAGACGTGGCGTTTCGCGACGGCTTTGCATGGTTTTGGGGATCCGTTTGGCCGGAATGCCTGGACAGTGGAAAACAAGTATACGTACACTGGAAAATGGGTACAAGATGGGTACTTAAGTTCCTTTTTCCAGGTCAAGGAGCTCATTTCACTGGAAAATGCGTAAGAACAGTACTTAAGGAGGTCATACCGGAGTGGCTTTTCCTTGATCTGACCGGACCAGGGCTGAGAGTCCGAGGTGCCGCTGCGCTCCTTTTTGGGGTTGGACCGGTGGCTCTGAAGTGAGAGTCCATCTGAAGTCACACATTAAACACGTACTCGTAACTAATAATCATACTATAATACGCCGAATACTAGTGACATGATCCTAGAACAAGATTCTTTGAATATCTATATCTGAATATGTTGTATATATATATATCTCTCAACAGAACATCTGCATCGTTCGAACGTTTGGAACGACTGCATCCTTCTCGCCACAGGTCCGTCCCCTCGGGCGTGACCGCGGCGCCGGGCGTGCCGGGGAACCCGGACCCCGCGCCGGGTCGAGCGAGCGGGCGTGGAGCGGGCGTGGAGCGGGCGTGGAGCGGGGGAGGGTCGGTCGAAACGACCGACGCGGAGGGTGAGCAGCTTTCTTCCGATGTTGAGAAGTGCTGCAGTGCTGCCAACCTCAACAATGCCTCCAACCTGGTATCAACGGCCTCCAAGCTATTAGCGGTGGCCCTCCAGAGAGACATGTCACACTGTCCAAAGAGCAGCTGCCTTTTGGAGCTTTCCGGCCATCGTCTCTCCGATACTCATCACCCGAAACCCGCCGTTCGCCGGTAGAACCCGCACCGCTTTCGGTTCTTCCGGCTCAAGCGGAGCGACGTTCCACCACCGAAGCCGAGCGGCTCGGACCGGGACCCGCCGTTCGGCCGTGCGGTGCCGACGTGGTTCGTCCAGGCGCGGCGGGGGACGCTTCGTTTGGGGGTCGAGTAGAAGAATAGAAGTTTGAAGGGATAGAATCGGATAGAAGGTGAATCAACATGATGCCCCGAATATAGAGGCTTGATTCCAGATGCCAATAGCTTCAGCAGAGGTTGGTTCCCTCCGCTGCCCATGATTCTCGGATCGCACTTGGGTGCCATCCCATCAAATCACGGGCAGAGGCATCGACGCAGGTTTCTGCTATCGGTGTCCCACTCGAAGTCCCAACAGTTTCGACAGGTGAGGCATCTGAGATGGACGACGGATTTGGTGCCAAAGTGGACAAGAGAGGACGAGAGCGGATGAGATGGACAGGGGGAGTCATCCGGTTGGTGATCATGATTTAGATATTTATTACTTAATAGCCAATCTACATCTGGGATCTCTACAACGTCAGTGACGTTTTGTGAGTGTTTGCTGCAACTTGTGCACTGTGAATCAGAGACGTTTTTTTCTATACGTTTGTCTAATGACTGACATCCATATTTTCCTTGTGCGTTCTTGTATGATAGGTTTTGCAGGCTGCGGGTGTTGCATGATATTTACAGGTCGGGCACTTTGAGACGAGGGCACTACGTCCTCAGCTGGCAATGGCCCTCGAAGAAGATGTATAGCCCACACACTTGGTGATTGAACAAGTTATACAGTATACATACTATACATTCAATCATTGACCCCTGAAACTGCCTCAATGTATAACATATAATTAGGTACATATGCCATGGAGTGTCAAGGTAAGGTTAGGATGCATTGGGAGCATTTATGTCTTTAATTAGGAATCCTATTTGAGATACCATGAGAACTTACAGGAAGCCTCCGTTCTTCGAAGATATCGATGGAAACCATGCTTTCTGTGTTTGTCCCTTGGGACGCGTGTGAATTGCGACGGAAACCCCCTTGTCCCTTGCCTATTCAATTATGCTTCATTCATAGCCATGTTTCCAGTTTGCTTGCTGCTTGCTGCTGATGATGCTGCTGGTGTTGTTGTGGTGGTGGTTGTTGTGGTTGTTGTCGTGGTCGTGGTTGTGGTTGCCGGTTGCGGTTGTTGGTTGTTGGTTGTTGGTTGTTGCTGTTGGTGGTTGCTGTTGCTGTTGCTGTTGCTGTTTTATCTAGGATGTGGCTGAGGTTCTAAGTAGAAGCTTTACAGAGGATTAAAGCTGACCGGCTACTGCTACTACTACTACTACTACCACTACTACGACGACGACGACTACTACCACAGTAATACTACCACTACCACTACCACTACCACTACCACTACCACCACGACAACAACAACAACAACTACTACTACTACTACTACAACCAGTGCTAACCAGTACTTCCACGATGACGACGAGGACGACGACGACGACGGCTACGGCTACGACGACGATGACAGACGACTAGTACTAGTACCACTATACTAGCACTAGTACAAGCACTACCACTACTGGCATAAAAGTACTTGTTGGGGCTGCAGTTCCTTGGTACCTTGTTGTTGTTGTCGTCGTCGTCGTCGTTGTTGTTGTTAGCTTGCTTGCCAATCTACAATGTGTGTGTGTGCGTTTGCGAAGGTCATCCCTCGTCGTGTGACCAGCACCTCTCAGTTAGGTTTGGTCTCCTCTATCGGAATGCAGATAGTGAGGGCCACGAACCGCAATCTGCTTCGGTGCTGGTCGTGTAGCATGGAACTGCAGATTGCCGACACCCCAAGTCTTTCAGAGCGAATGGGCTTGGAAGGGTCACCATGCATATTAACAACAAATATACTCCACATTCGGATTGCAATGGACTGTACAACCTCTTAAATATGGGTGATGGATTGATTGATCGAGGATCTACACATTTAAAGTTTTGGTATTCACCTGAAGAGTCCGACCGCTGCTTTGGCCGTCTCCAAAAACAGCCTTCACTTCGTTGGACGCCTCGGCCGGACCGCCGGCAGAGTCTCTGCGTGCAGGAACCGATGCCTCGACCACCGAGACACCTCCAACACCTGTGCGCATTGCTGTTGGCCGCATGGGGACCTCCCGCAGCACAGGTTGGAACGGTCGAACGGTGCCGCCGAAACCCGTCGACCAACCTTGGACGAAGGATTCGGGAAGTTTCGGACAACGACCGTTTCGTGGGCAAATTTTGACAAATTATGGGCCCAAGTTACACATGTTCAAGTTGTGTGTCACATTTCTTTGGGGGGGCAATACGTTTTGTGAGCACTCATCATTTCGTAGGAGTGATGTGTTTCGCCTGTCCAAAAACAATTTTTCAGATGAAGGTCTCACACATAGACAGCCGCCAAGTACAGCGCCACCAAGCGCCAGTGTAAAATTTGTGTGGTTGCCTGTTGCTGCACAGATGATGTAAATGTGTTAAATTTCATTGTATTTTTTGGGGCCAGGGTATGGACCATGGACATGAAGGGTCTGGGGTCAAATCGATACTGGCCATAGGGTCCCCAACGGTCCAAGGGTTGTTGTTTGGAGTATGTGGGTATAAATACAAAAAATGTACCTGGACCCTCCAAGGTGTGTCCAATCGACTACCCCACACTACCTATGGGTTTCTATTGGGCACCCCTTGGAGGGTCCTGGTATAAACATGTTAGTACTACCTACTGCTTCGTCTACCTACTTTTTTTTAGGTAGAGAAATGATAACCTGGTATTTCCCACGTGCACCCGGAAAAACCTGGTAAACACACCAGGCATCAAAATACCTGGTAATTGCAAAAACACCTTGTCAATCGGGTTTCCAGGTGCCTCTTCCTGGTCCGGGGTCCTCCAAAGTGTGGACCAAGCATGACCATGCAACTGTTGGACAAGTATCTTTGGCAAGATGACTCATCATTCCATTATCAACTTGCCCACTTCATGTCCAAGATCCTGGATGTTACATGGTTCATGCAAATCACCAGATCATTTCCGTAACCTCCGGTATGTGAGAACAATGATGGCCCGCCCGCTCATGTGGAAGCGATCGTGCACTTTGACCTGGTGCCCTGGATCAGCCAGGCCCTCAATTTTTTTCAGCCAAGCAATCGCGTGGCAGCGTGCTCGCTAGACCACTTCCAATGCATGGTCCTGCAGCAAAAGTCAAGCAAAGCAAATTGGAGGTTGTGTTTGATTCCCGGAGTGCTTTTTGGTTCCTAGCATTGTGCTATACGGCACACGATCTTGTGGGAGATGCCCCGAAACCGGGAATGTGAGTCTAATGCTATGGACGTAGAAGGGCTTGCTGATGAATGGGCGAATGACCCAGATGTGAGGGCTCGGGCAGCAACGGGTCGCTTGCTTCAGCACCCTTCAAGTCAAACATGGTGTATTCCTTGCCGTGGGAATGCCAAGATGAACAGGTGTGTTCTCGTGCCGCTGTTGACGAGACTCTGTACCACTCCAACCTTCCACCTTTTCCATTTGGAACCAGTTCAGCAGGAGCTACAAAAGCTCTTTACTGGCATGAATGTGAAAGTCAACTCGAAGGTTATCTACCAAACATCGGTTGAGCTCAAGAAGCTCTGCGGGTTCATCAAGAGGCGAGTCAACCACAAGGAGGTTACGAAGGCCTGGGTTGAAACAGTTGGAACCTTTCTTTGGGTTACAAGTTGAAAGTTTATACATGTGAGTACGTACTGTGTAGATAGGAATGCGTGCAAAACAAACAGCTTGGAACTTTGCTGCCCCTATTCAGGACACTGGTTTCCATCCTTTACTCTTGACACTGCAGCCAGAGTTGGAGGAGCGCCTATGCATGAATAGGCCATATGCCACATCTGTCATGTATCCTTCAATGGTTGAATGCTTTTGTTCAAAGAAAAATCAAACAAAACAACCAGGGGTCAACATGGAAGGACTTCATTCGGACCTACATGGAGACCAGAACCCCCTTGGCGCACATGCCGTCCTTCGAAGAGGAGAAGGACTGGGCGGAGGAAGATCCTGAGACACAGCAAGACTTCAATGATTTTGAGAGATGGTTGAATGATGTTGGGGCTGAACCATTGCCAGCTGTGCCCGCTGAAGACTCAGCTCTTGTCCCTCAAGAGCCTTTACCACCTTCTGGAGAAGCCCCAGCACAAGTCACAGCACCCAGTGACGTTCAGCCCAATCCACCTTCGAAAGCATGTCCAAAGTGTGGCAAAACCACATCGTGCACCTTATTAGTGATTCTGAATATGTATGATTTATTTGTTCTGGGGGTGTAGGCTTGGGACTGCTTCTCAGGGTGAAGGGCCGTGACCTCGAACCTAGGCAAGTGTGATGCTATCCAAGCCTTACTTGCGAAGATTGCCGCCAAGAAAGCGGAAATTGCGTATCTTGACCAAAAGGGGTTGGCGCTACGTTCCATGAACCATACACAAGTTATGTTACTGTACATTGCACTTCGTGGTGACAAAACCACATTGATCATAAGGTCCAGGGCAGCAGCTGCCCAGCCCGAGAAGAAAGAGGTGGAGGTCAAGCAGGAGAAAACTGATCCAGGTAGGAAACAACTATTGTATATACTCATGTGCTTGCAACAATGAAAATTGATGATTCATACTTTCCAGGGTAGTTGGGACTTCATGCGACCTATGACCTGTCAGGTAAACATCTTGCCTATGGAGCGGATTGGGTGGAGACGCAGGTTCAGGAATTGTTCGAGACGCCTCTTGCAATCTCAGAGTCCGAGAAGTTCTTCAACCTCACGCAGGTCCAAGGTTCGCAGGAGATTGAACTTCCTGAGAAGCCAGCGGAGGGTGCAGACGACAAAGAGGCCAGTCACGTGTGAAAGAATAAATGTAAATTGAATAATTATATGAAAACTAAACTGCTTGGGTTTCCTCAATTGATAGCAGAGTCATGGCATGTTGGAGAATCTTTGTGAAAGAACATGAGGAAAACTATGCTGAAAACAATCCTTTTCCTCTCTCCATCATCCGACCTTATTCCATCTCTCGATCAATCTTTCTCTTTTCTGGGCCAGCTCGCCCTCTCTCGTGACCGTCTCCTTCTCTCTCTCTCTCTCTATTGCTTGCGATCGTGTATACACCATGGCCATTCGCGCAAGTTTCATGAATGTTGTTTCCACTGATTTGTGTGTTTTCTTTGCTCGATGGCTTTGTTGGAGGTACTCACCAGGAGGCACCAACTCAGATTGAAGGAGGCTTTGGAGAACCTTAAGAAGGACAAGGACAAGCTCCGGGAGGCTAAAGGCAAGGCTAAGGCCAAAGCAAAAGGGAAGAGCAAGGCGCAGGACAAATCCTCTAAGGAGGATGCTGCTGAAGCTCTTGCCGATGGAGCAAGTGCTGCAGAAGCTGCTGCACCTAGCGCTCCAGCGGCCAAGGGCAGAGCCAAGGGAAAGGCCAAGTCCAAGGCCAAGGCCACCCCAGAAGAGGAAGAGGTCAAGGAAGAAGGTGCTGACCTGCCTGTGGCCAAGGCAAAGGCCAAGGCAAAGGCCAAAAGCTCGGCTGCTAAGGCCAAAGCTGGAAGCAGGAAGGCTGCTCCCAAAGCGTCGCCAAAGATTAGGATGAAAGTCCGCTCTGCCATGAAGGGACAGGCTCGGTGTTCAAAAAGCCAAGATCCAGCGACCTTGGCTTATGAAAGGTGTGACGATGATGAGGAAGAAGATGATGTGGAATTGGAGATGGAGGGTGCCCGAAGGGAAATCGGCCGCTCAGTGGCGGAATCTAGCAAAGAGAGCCGTGTCGATGACATTGCTTCACCAAAGCGCAAACTCTTTGAAGATCCTGAGGATCCTGTGGAGGAGGACCTTGGACTTGTGGATGAGGAGGAGGAGGAGGGACGTGAGGAGGATGAGGTTGAGGAGGAGGAACCCCCGGCCAAGAGGGCCAAGACCAAGGCCAGCGTGTTGGCAGAAGCGAAGGCAAAGGCTAAGGCAGAAAAAGCGCCAAAGGCAGCGCCAAAGCGGGCCGCCAAGGCGGCAGCAGCAAAGAGAAAACCAAAAGCGGCGGCGAAAAAGGCAGCAGCAAAGAGGGCCGCTGCAAAGGGACGAGCTCGCAGGGGGCCAAGCTTGGCAGACGCAGAGTTGGAGGATGACGGGATGAGAGATATGATCCTGAACGACCTTGACAAAGTGGAAAGCTTGGAGTTCGATGCCCTCAAGGAATACATCTACGCCGACTTGCCGGAGCACAACTTGAAGAACGTCAGTGTCATGCCCTACTGGACGCGGGTGGCTGTTGGGGTCAAGTGGACGAAGTTAGTTGGTTCGCCCCAGGTTGCTTACTTTCCCCTTCGTGCCAAAGGCCCTGATCCCTCTGAGCAGTACAACAAGCGCATGATGTGTTCTTACAATGCTGGGTTGCTTTTTGTGCCCTGGTTTGCATTTCTCAACTTCGTACATCTTGCACGAATAGCCATGGATAATACGTTTAATGCATGAACTTGATTTCAGCAACCATGCTAGAACAACATGTTGGGGACATGATGATCGACTTGCCTAGGCCATCTGGCTGGAAGGACAGCCAGAGATTGACGTGACCGATGATGAACAAAACGGGGACTTCAAGTTAGTGATGGCCAAAGTGAAGTTCAATGCCGGCCGTGCGGTAGATGGTCTCTCTGGGTGAGGTTGTTCACTATCAACAGTGATGCTCTTGAGTGATCAACCATGCATGAGTTAGACTGTAATGTTTCTTTGTTGCTTCTCATCATGGGGAACCACCCGCCGGCCGTTTTGAGTGGACCTTGAACCATACTATTTGAAGTTGCATGGGGATTACCTCATGTGACAAGGGGGATTTGACTCGATGCAGTCAACTAGAGCTATACAGCTCTGGGACACGCAGCAAAAGAAAAATGATCACCCTACCAGCAAGCAGCTTATGGTGGATCGAGTGTTCTACTTTTTTTCATACCTGGGAGTTGTCGAAATATCAGATCTGACATAATCTGTGCCAGCCTCTCCGCTTCCCACAATCCATGGCCAAGCAGCATGAATTTCCTTGCTTCATCATCGCCATCCGCTGAGGTCCGGAATGCCGCCTCACAAGAAGCTGAAGGGGATGAAATGGGCTGTGAAGGCAGGCATTTACGCGGATGGG